ACGTGAGCTGTAGTGATGCTTGAGTTGAAAAGTCAGTGCTACTGATCCTGTCTTTAGTAGAAATTTTCATCCTCTGTTGATCATGGATTTTTGGTATCTTTTTAGTTTTTCACATATTGCACTAAATATTTATCTTAGTTTCTGAGTTTTTGGTGCTCCCTAAATTTTGAACCTATGATGAGTTTCTCCTGCCTTGCCTTTAATCCCTGCTCTGTCTTGGGTCTGGGGGTTGGCTGCATGGGGAGCCACCGCCCTCACTGTGAACTGGGGAAAAAGCTTGTGTGGCCCCTAGGGAAGACCCTGTGTTGGTAGGGTGGGGAGTTCCTAGGGCGGGGAGTTCCTTGCCCTGTTGGACTGCCTGAAGTGGGGCACAGTTGCAGGTGGGCACGTCCTCAGGTCCAGTTTCCTTGCCTGAGCAAAGAGTGGGCTGGAGGAGGGCCACAGCAAACTCCAGGAGGAGTGGTTCTCGGCGTCCAAACTTCTGGGTGAGATTGTGGGGGTACAGATGCTTCAATGAGTCTGGCTTGTAGCCACAAGTCTTTATTTATGAGTTCCCAGGTCCTGCTGCTTAACTGAGGTGCATACTTTGAGGGCCCTGCTCTCAGGTCCACGGCAGGGGCCCCTTGTGCCTGAGTACAATGAGCTGCTTGTGGGACACATTGGCAGATTTTCCATGTGTAGGGACTATGGAGAAGCTCAGCATTTTTTTCCTTTTTTTTTTTTTTTTTTTTTTTGAGGTACTAAGGACTGAACCCAGACCTTGAACATACTAGGCAAGTGCTCTACCACTGAGCCACATCCCCAGCTCTTGCATTTATTACCAGACTTGCCTTTGGATTTTTTCTCTTCAGCCTTCAAGAGAGAGATTGCTTACTTTTCTGTTCTCCTAGCCAGCCTTACATTTGTCATTGTTATTAGTGGAGGTTTCTTCAGGCTATTGGAACTTGATTTAGAGTGAATCATTGCTATGGATTCTTTTTCCTGTAAATCTCTTGCGCAATCTATGGCAGTGAGAGCTGTGATGTCTTAGCTACATGGTATCCTTAAGTCCCCTAGATTTTGTTTTTAAATTCATTTCTATAAATAGCACATTATTTTAAAAATATATTACAATCTTTAAAATAATAGTTTTACATATAAAAACATAAAAATGTCTTACAAAGTTACACTGAAATGATCCCTACTGCTGGCAGTAATCTTGAAAATACAAAAACCACCTTTCCACTTTTTTCTCCCTATTTTTGTCCCTCTTTCCAATGTTGATATTTTTGTAATTTCCTCCAGAAAAAAATATTTTTATTCATACTTATTCATCCTTTTAATTTTTTAAATATGAGAGTGACCATGCCATTAACAGGCACTTAAAAAAAAAAAAAACTCAGTGATGTATCTTGGACACATCTTCGTATTAACACATAACAGATTTACCTTGACTTTCTTAATGTTCATGAGACTTATCATTGGGGTATCCCAGTGTTAACTCGTCCTTAATGAAGAACTCTTTGGGTCCAGGTTTCTGCTATTAGAACAGCGCTGCAGTGGATATCTCTGTATGTATTTTAGTGTTAGCTTTTCTGCAATTTTTCTCTTTTAGGCAATTTCAATCACCTGTAAACATCAAGAAAAAACAGTGTCATGAACTCCAAGAGTCCATCACCCAGAGCTGGTGCCTATCCAGTCTCCTCTCCCAGGCTCATCCACCCACTCACCTAGCAGCACATTCTTTAAAATGGATCTAAGACATCTGATCTCACCCATATCTGCATGTCCTGATGCACATTTAATAAGTTGGAACTCTTTCATACACAATCATGGTAGCATCATCACACCCACCAAGCTATTATTGCAGTTCTTGAATGTCTAGCCAGTATTCACATCTTCCCAGTTGCCTTATCACTTTCTGAAACATTTATTCTGATAAGAAGACAGGGCATTTTGTTGAGTACTAGGTAAGAGGTAAAACCAGTGAGTGCTGGGAAGACACTCAGTGGGAAAGATACAAAGCCCGGGTCTGCCGTGACAGGTTTGAAGTGACTGTAAATAATCAGTAGGAAATGCATTCTATACAAGAGTGGCAGTGCTTTCTGAGCTGGAGGAATGTGGATGCTAGTTGTCTTGGTTACTTTTCTCTCGTTGCTGAAACAAAATACCTGATGCCCAAAATTAAGGAAGGAAAAGGTTTATTTAGCTCACTGTTTGTGTGGAGGTTTCAGTCCATACTTGGCTGGCTCTAAGGCAGAGTGGCACATGGCAGAGGACAACAGTTCATGGAAGCGGAAGACAGTAAAAACAACAAGAGCCAAAAAGGGGAGCAGCAGAAGGCAAGCCTCTTTCCCTCCCTTACATTGTATGCAAACTACTTGCCCCAGAGAGGGTGTAGCACTCACCCCAAGAATCAATCATAAGCTCTAGAAGCCTGCCCCATGACTGCATGAGGCTTTGGGTGGACACACCCAGACACAAACTATAATACTAGTCAAAGCCCTGTGCTGCAGAGACTATCTGAAGGGAGAGAGGAGGCTGACAAGAGGGACCTGACCCAGATCAGCCTGAGGAGCAGCCTGGACCAGCAAAAAAAATGTCTGCCAGCACAGCCACCCCAGTGCTCTTGTGGGTGTCCCACCTTCATGGTGCTGTACAATGGGACGTCACGTCTCCTGCACTGAGTGGCTCTGTTCCAGCTGGAACCCCTGGTGGCCTGGTGACTATAATGTGTATGGATGTAATGCTGCTGCTTTGTCCATTTATCTTGAAAGACTTGGGTTCAGCCATAGGATTAACACCAGTAGTGGGGGTTTTGGGCAAAGGATGTGTGCATTTTGAGGTTTGAAGGCGCCCTGCCATCCAAAAGGTTTGTTCCTGCCAGCTCTGAGGGGTGTGCGTTTCCCCAGTGTAGGTATTCTAGAAGTAAAATAAAGAAAATCTATTCTAATAGAAGTAAAACATAAAACAACTAGGAATACATTTGATAAATATGTAATATACGTGTGAAGAAAACTTTAATATGCTCCTGAGGGACCCAGTAGAAGACTTGAATAAATCAAAGTTATGCCATGTTCTCGGATGGGAATGCTCAGCATGGTGAAAAATATTCATTCTCCCTCAGTTAAGCTGTAATTTGAACATGATCTAATAAAAATCTCAACATTTGGAGGGAATTTGATGAATTGACTTGTAAAAACCACTTGGAAAAACAAATTAGACAAGAAAATTCAAAAAGTAGGAAGATAGGGAGAGTCAATAAAGAGCCTAACTAGATGCAAAAATATATTATGAAACTAACATTAAGAACAGTGCTGTTAATGCATAAATTATATATTATAGCCTAAACTTAAATATATTCATTAATACATGATAAAAGTTGCATTTCAAATCAATAAGAAAAAATGGATAAACTCTAGGAGGATGTGGAATTCATATCTGCATGCCTTACGTAAGACCGATCCCAGAAATATTCATGATGTGCACATGGAAATGAAATATGAGTTATCAGAATTCACAGGAAAATTGTTTTGTGGTCCCAGGTCTTTGTGCTATGACATACATTTCAGAAGCCATTGAAGACAGGATTGATAAATTCAACTTTATAAAAGAAATTTCTTCACAGCAAAATCTACCTTATACAAAGTCAAAAGACAAGCAACAAATTGGGAAAAGATACTTGCAACTGGTAGCACAAGTAAGAACTAAGTTCCCTCATATATAAAGAGTTCCTACAAACCAACACAAAAGGACCAGTAACCCAATAAAAAACAATTATGCACATTTCATAGAAAATGAAACACAGCATTTAAATATGATATATTTAATAAGAAAAAATACCAACACCTAATAAGAGAAATGTAAATTGCCACTTCACAGGGGTCATATTTTTTTAAATATGAGGCTAGCCAGGTATGAGAAACAAATATCATTGATGGGAGGTAAATCTATACTACTTTATGGAGGAAAGATTGCAGTTTGTAACCCAGCAATTCCACATCTATGAGTGTATTGTTTAAATTTGCTATATGTACACACACGTAAAATCAGATAGGAATGATATTTTTCATTAAAGCCTTATTGAAGAAGCCAGAGTTTGTGTAATCAATTATAAACCATGCAGTGGAACTGTTCAAAAATGAGTAAAGAAGAGCTCTGTGTACTTCTGTGGAATGGTTTGTAAGAAAAGGATATTGTTAATTGATAAAAAGCCAGGTGTGTGGTGGTATACTGCCATTTGTGTAAAAGGAAAGGGAGGTGTAGAAGCCTATTTACTTGTGTGTGAATTCAGCAATTACCAGCATACATATAAAAATGGGTAATAATCGTTGCCTCTAGGGAAAATATGGGAAGGCAAGGGCTAAGGCTGGCATGTAGGCTTTTTACTGCATACACATTTGTATCATTTGACCTTTAAACTTTGGCTGTACTTCTCAAAAATAAATGGGAAATCCAAATTTAAAAATAAGGTAAAAAATACTATTTGTTTTGATGTGTGTAGTCCTAACGTTGAGTATCTTTTCAAATAAAGTCTTTTACATTTGTAGACATCTGTCTCTTCATACATTTTGAAGGGGGTTGAAGGAGAGCAATGGTTTCTTTGCGAATTAAATAATTTCTCCTTTAAGTGTCATAGATATTTTGTTTCAGATTTTATTGTTTTTTTTTTTTTTTTACTTTGTCTACGCTGGTTTTGCCACTTGGCACTTTTATATTTGTGTGTAATTTTTTTCTTTTTTTCCCTCCTTCCTTCCTGGGGGTGGAAATGACTTTTCCATCGTGGTCACTGAGAAGACTGACAGTAGGTGTAAGGCATCCGATTATTGATGCCTTTGGATAAATTGAAGATGTCAGGCTACTTATGAAATCTCTGAAGGCAGGAAAGACAGGAAAAATTCGTATTTAGCAAGAAGTGACCCAGAAGGTCCTCCCCTAGGGCGAGGAAGGAGGGACTTGGGTGCAGTTCAGAGGTAGTATTGGTGAGTCTCTGATGTGCTTTCTTCTTTCTCCACTCCCAGCGGAGCTCCCGCGGTCCTCAGCGGTGAGGCTGGCCTCCCTGCGGGACTTGCCTGCCCAACTGCAGGAGCTGTACCAGCAGGGCTTCTCCCTGGCCACCCTGCACCCCTTCGTGCAGCCCACTCACAAGCTGGAGAAGATGCCCCTCGAGCACATCTTCAGGGCCATCCTGGTGAAGAAGACTGACAGGTAAGGACCGTGTGCGTCAGGTGGTAGCTAACGTGTTCAGTGGGGGAGGAGAAGTAAGCAGATGGGAGTGAATTTGAGAGCTAGTCCCAGAGCCTCTGCTCTCTGCCAGGTAAGGCAACAGGTCAGAATTTCTACAGCCTCCTGTGATGAAAAGCAAATACCCTGCCCAACTGCAAACAGAGAGGTCTACTTTATATCTACTCCTTTAATTTGTTGGATTAAACTCAGCTAGAAAAATGTGACCTCCAAAGAGTAGCAACCCCAGAATGATGCAGCTAGTAAAAGTAAAATAATACCATTAATCTGAAAAGCACAGCTGAAAACCACTATGATTTTATTAAAGACTATATACAAACTTAGTATCTTCCCCCAACACGTAGAAATACTTAAAAAATTTGAACTCACCATACGTTTTCTCAGTCACCTAAGAAGGAAAAAAAAAACACCCAAAGAAAATATTGTCATTGGTTTTCTCTTGATTTTGATTTGTGGAATGCTTTCTTTTACATTTTGATTGGGCATAATTATGAAAAGAGGTGAAACTGGTCTTTCAAACAGAGTGATATTAATTTGCAGTGGTTTGTTTTTTTTTTAACATTGAGGGTGGAATGGAGGGCACAGTATGCTGTTATTGCTTTCATAAAAATAAAAATTGAAGTGACCTCTGGGAAAGGAAAACAGAGTGTCCTTTGGCCAGCTCCCATGGAAGGAAGGACAACACGGGCTCTATTTTAAAGCGAGTCCAGCGTGACTGCTCCTCTCTGTCTTTGTTTGTGGCAGACAGTGTCTCTCATGCCCTCCCAAGAGACAGCATGAGGCACGCCGTTGCGTGAGAAAGACGGACTTCTTTTCTTCATTTTTTCATGGCTGATGACAGTCTGGGGCACTTAGTCCATGTCAGCGTGGATTAGAATTTGAAGTGGAAGATAGTGCATGTCTTTGCGGAAGTCCCAAATCACTTTTCTGTAATTTCTTTTTTTTTTTTTTTTTTTTTTTTGGTTTTTCTCTGGTACCGGGAACCGAACTCACGACCTTGCGCTTGCCAGGCAGGTGCTTTGCCGCTGAGCTAAATCCCCAGCCCCCCAAATCACTTTTCTGTAGGCAAAACTTTGCTCAGTGTCTGCCTTCTCTGTATATGGATTTCTTTATGTCAGGTGACTGCGTCAGTTTGTGGATCGATCACAAGAGGAAATGATTCTGGAGCCGTAGTGGTTTAAGTTACTCTGACACATAGGAGACGTTTACCGAGTAGAACTCACACTGACTGAGTACTCATTGTTTGCCAGTATTACTCCATTTTTACCATCAGCCAATGAAATAGGCTGCTTTTATTTCATTTTAAAGGTGAGGGAGCAGAGGCACAGGTGTTCCTTGTCAGGGTCACACGGGGGCAGCAAGCAGGGCTCTGTCTGGCTCCTAGGCAGCCTGACTCCTATACCTGTGCAGACACCCCTTTAACAAAAAGGTGAGGAAGGGCATCTTTGATGTCAGGTGAGGTAGTGCATTATTCAACCTTTCTCCCGTTTTACGACTCCACAATGCTCAAATAAAACAGTTTCAAACAAGAAAGAAAGAAAACGACGTGCTGTATAAATCACATAAGGCATTCACTAGACTGCAGTGAGTCTGCTCCTTAGACTAGTATTTTGGCCTTTGTGTTTAGAGAGACAAGTCCACTCGGCTCAGATCGCAGGAACTTCCTTCACTGTAACTCTGCTAGCGGTGCTGTTAGCACAGGACTCGGCGTGAAGTGAGCACATACAAATACACTAACTTGCAATGTGAAGATGTGCACTTTTGCCTCATGCTATGAAGCACCTTTCTCAAACTGTGATGGGCCTGTGAGTCCCGGATATGTTGTTAAAGAGCAAAGTCTGATTCAGAAGGCCTGGGGTGAGGCCCGCATCTCCGGCACATTCCCAGAAGTTGCTGACACTGTGGGCCCATGGACCACACACCGATAGCAAGGTGTAGAGGACCCGACTGTTTCTTGTCTCGCTCCATGCCTGGCACTAAGCAACACTATTGAGGATTGTGCTCTCCTCCCAGGGAACACTTCTAGTGCTGGAAAGGTGAGAAAGGATGTTGGGCTCTTGGCCGGAGGGCCTGTGTTCCAGGCTGTACTTAGCTCCTAGTAAGTGATGGGGTGGGGGCATATAAGAGAACTTTTCCAGGCTTCCCATTCTCTAGTTGGTGCAGTGATGGGTTTGGTCTCACGTGGTTCTTATGGGGTGAGATGAATGGGTGAAGAGGCACCTCTTCAGCAATAAGAACCCCAGCTTTGGAGAATAGTCCATTGCAAGCCAGCAGTGGAGCTGGGGTCCGGGGGTTAAATTGGGATTCTTTAGTCATACTGAGGACAAGGTGTGAACAAATGAGTTGACTTTCTGAAGATAAAAATGGGTAAAGCTCTTAAAGATGAGACCATGGTATGTAGGAAGATTTCAGGATAAGGAAGATGGCAGACTCCATGGATTTGCAAACAGTTTTATTGGTACATTTTAGATGTACAAAATGATCACATTCATCATAGGGGATTTGTACATGTACATGATATATCTTGATTCTTCTTTTTTCCCCAATCCCCTCCCCTCCCTTCAACTCCTCTTTCCCTCCTTATTCACAAAAGCTGTGTTTCCAATTTTTCCTTCTGTTCTTTTTTCTTTTGTCTTCCTTCCTTTTGCATTAGATCTCCACATGACCTCTTTCCTTTTCTTCATTACTTTATGTTTTCTGAACACTCTAGGGGTCCAGAGTGATTAACCAAGAGAGGCTTAATTTGAGGTCCCCACTCACATTGGCACGTAGCAGTAAGGTTAGCCTGTCCTTCGTAGGCTTGTGGCCTGGCATTTGCCTCTCTTCCTGGGTAATGTGTGTCCTCCTGGGCATTTTTGGCCAGAAAGGGCCAGTTTCATCACAGTTGAAAACTTGATGATAGCAGAAGCCAGTTCTCTGTGTCACGATTTCAAAGTGGTGTATGTAATTTTCAGCAGCCCTTTTGTCAGCACTGGCTGCTTCACCATTCCTAGTCACCCTACAAACCCCAGTTCTTGCTTTAAAATTGTGAAACCACTCCTTAGTGGCACAAAATGTTGCACCATTATCACTTGTTTATGGATTATAGTTTACAAGATCTGCATTTATAGCCCAAGCTTTTCCACAAATTACAGACTCAGCTAGGCTGTCACCTGCCACCTGCCTTTCGTTTATCCAGACCAGTAGCCTTTCCAGTTCGTCTAACACTGTTAATTGTGACTTATTACTCTGAGTAACACCTTTAGCAACACTGTCCTCCTTATGCCAAGCTTTCTTCTGCAAGATTGTCGAGATGGCGGACTGTGACATGCTATACATATTAATATTAGCAAGATCAGCCCCACAAACGCCACTCTCATATCTCTCTACAGTTTCCCTTTTTTCTCTTGTGATTGCTTTCTTTACCTTCCCTTCCTTCCTTAGCTTCTTTTCTAGCTTTTTGGGGGTCATTTGATAGCAGTCATCACAGCGATTATATGAAGCACCTACTGAAATCACATCCACACACATGGGCATCTGGCCTCAGACTGACACTCATGTGTGCTTACATATGCTTTTCTGGCATTGTGCATCTTTGTTCACAGCCACACAGTGGCCGGCATTCAGGTCATAACTCAAGACTTTGGTCTTAAGTTAAACCTAAAATTCTGATCATAAGCCAAGTTGGTTGTGCGTGAAGCCGTTCATAACTTGAGGCTCTCCTGTATTGGTTCTTCCTAACCAAGAACAAGGGATATTTTTCCATTTTCTGATATTCGCTTCAATCTCCTTTTTCAGAGTACTGTAGTTTTCAATGAAAGATCTTTTACTTCATCTATTAGATTAATTCCTAAGTATTGCTTTTTTTTTGTTTTGTTTTGTTTTCTGGTACCGGGGATTGAACTCACGACCTTGTGCTTGCTGGGCAGGCACTGTGCCACTGAGCTAAATCCCCAGCCCCTAGTGTTGCATTTTTAATGCTATTTTGAAAGGTGGGATTTTCTTAATTTCTCTTCAGTGAGTTTTGTTATTTGCATACAGGAATTCTATTAATTTTTGAGTGTTGGCTCTGTATCCAGCTAGGCTACTGAATTTGGTTGTAAAATCTAGCTGTCTTTTGGTGGAGTTTTTGGGGTCTTCTATGTAGAGTATCATGTCATCCACAAATAATGATAATAAATAATGATAATTTAACTTCTTCCTTTCCTACCCTTATTCCTTTTATTTCTTTCTCTTGTCCAATTGCTCTGGCTAATGTTTCCAGAACTATATTGAACAGGAGTAGCAATAGTGGACATCTTTGTCTTGTTCCTGATTTTAGAGTGAAAGCTTTCAGTTTTTGACCATTTAGTGTGATGTTGGCTGTTTATTTGTCATAGATGGCATTTACCAGATTGAGATAAAGACCATCTATTCCATTTTTCTCTAGGGTTTTGTCATGAATTGGTGTTGGACTTTGTCAAATACTTCTTCTCCATGTATTGGGATCATGTGGTTTTTGTTCTTGGTTGTGTTAATATGGTTTATTACACTTCCTGATTTGCATATGTGGAAGAATCCCTGCATCCCTGGGATGAATCTTACTTGGTCATGATGTATAATCCTCTTGATCATTTACTGCATTCAGTTTGCCAGTATCATATTGAGAATTTTTGTGTCTATGTTTATTAGGGAGATTGGCCTCTAGTTTTCTTTTTAGGTTGGATCCTTCTCTGGATTTGGTATCACAGTAATGTCTGCTTCCAGGAATAAGTTACTTCCCTTTCAATTTCATTAAAGAGTTTGAAAAATACAGGCATTAAATCTTCTCTAATTTTCTTGTAGGATTCAGCATTGAATCCTTCAGGAGCTAAGCTTTTCTTTGTTGGTAAGTTTTTATGTACATCTTCAGTTTCATTGACTGGTATTGGGTTATTTAAAATTTTTATATCTTCTTGATTCAGCTTTGGTAATTCATATGTATTTATGAATACTTTTTTTGGTCT